ATATTTTTTGTTAAATTACAGGTGATTGTGCAGCGTACCCTTGGAGCAAAGAACAACATCCACGCTAAAGCAGGTTCAATCTTTGCTGGATTTTTGAAGACCCTGCCAATTTTTATCATGGTGATGCCAGGAATGATCAGCCGAGTTCTGTATCCTAACTCCATTGCCTGTGCTGACCCCATCAGCTGTAAGCATTACTGTGATAATGAATGGGGCTGTTTCAACAATGCTTATCCTAAGTGAGTTTACAACCTTGAAGAATTTAAGAATTCATACTATGCCTTAGTTGTAATGGCATACTAGTGAGATTTGAAAGTCAGAGCTACATTTTGAAGTATAATCAGCATGCATTATCATGTATTGTAAACAAATACATTGTAGTGTTCATTGCTGGGATGGTCACATGCTACAGTTTCATCTATAGACCACGTCAGAACCATGTCACCTTGTACAGCATAATAAACAGTACCACATGAAAGTACTGCTCAATTAAGCTTTCATTTGAATGGACACACACTAGGGTTTCATCCACAGACTTAAAAGTTAGAACGACCTTGTACAGCATAATAAACAGTACCACATGAAAGTACTGCTCAATAGAACTGAAGCATTCACAGCTTAAGTACTGATGATCATCTTTCTTGCTTCTTAGACTGGTTCTAAACGTTCTACCAGTTGGAATGGTTGGTCTAATGATGGCTGTCATGATGGCTGCTCTGATGTCGTCACTCTCCTCGGCATTTAACAGTAGTGCGACCATCTTTACTGTTGATGTTTGGCTGCGCTTCAGACCTATGGTACTACATGTATACTTTGTAATATAGACTGATATTGTATGTAACACATACAGTAGTTATAAAGTATGTACCTTGCAATAAACTACATGTACATTTTGTATCTTTACCCTTTCTGTAGGTTTTTGCTCCAGAAAATGTCCTTCTCCCCTCCCTCACGAAAGGTTTTCTGGTGGTAAATACCCACTACTCCTAAAATTCTAGTGTAGTTGGAGTATTCATACCTTCATTTACAAAAACATTGGTCTTTAAGAACCCACCAACCAATCCCTCAGAATTTCCAGTGACCCTCTGGGAGTTATGATGTCATTAGTACAGTATCTTTTTGGCACACATTGCAGACTTATCTACCTCTCTACACGAATTGCAGACCTACATTGTAACGCAGTGGATTCTTAGAGATTGAACACTCCAGCTTGAGACTGTCCATGTGACAGGGCATAAAAGGGACATACAATGTACATGTATTCAGCAGGGATATGTCACAGTGACATGTAGTTAACGAAGAAATCACCACATGGACAAGCAGAAGAAACTGCAAAATAGTACTAAAAATTGTATTGACTGTACATTACTTCGTTCTCCTTGCTTTAGGCCAACGAGAGAGAAAGAGTCATTGTTGGCCGTGTGGTGGTACTTATCCTCGTTGGTGTCAGTTTGTGCTGGTTGCCAATCATCCAAGGTAATTCTAGTTTGATAAGTATCAAATTTCTCCTCACAGTCTCAAGACAGTCACGTGGTCATGTTATCATGCAGGAAGACAAGTTTGTGAGAACTTGAGAAGTGATCACCATAAAAAAAATTGAGCACTACAACTCAGTGGAAACACAAAAATACTTTGTATTGTATAATCAGTGATCCTCACAAATAATTTAATGTGTAATTAAATTACTGTTATGAATGATAATTATTATCACACAAATAGTAAATCAATGCACTCTTTTATTTCCAGGCTCTGCTGGGAAACAGCTCTTTGTGTACATCCAGACCATTCAGTCGTACCTTGCCCCGCCCATCACCATGGTGTTTGGCCTGGGCATCCTGTGGACTGGTCTGACCCCTGCTGGTGCTCTTTCGGGTCTGGTGATCGGCTTCTTCTTGGGAATGGCTAAGTTTATTGCTGGAAATGTATGGCCTACTCCTAAATGTGGCACTGTAGATGATCGTCCTGGATTTGCCAAAATGCACTTCATGTTTTATGGTGAGAAATTGTAACTGTTAAAGGTGCACTGTGCTCCGATGTATAAGGAATACACGCATCATGTCAATCACGTTTGAACAAGGCATTATACATCTGATGCAGTTGTAAACTAGCAGTGAATGACGTGTTAAGCTCTTCATAACTCATTCCAAACCAGGGAGAGCAGGAACAAAAAAAAATACTTGTTCTACCATGAAGTAGTTTAAGTACAAGAAATAACAATTGCTTGTAAAGAACTTAATGGTCACACAGTTAGCGTAGGGTTTCGCTCATAGAGTTTCTAACAGTTTATAGAACAACCTTCCGCGACATAGTAAACAGTACCACATCAAAGCACTGCTCAATAGCTGGTCACACACTAGGTTTTCATCCACAAACCCAAAAGTTAGAACCACCTTGTACGGCATAATAAACAGTACCACATGAAAGTACTGCTAAATAGCTTTCATTTGAATGGTCACACACTAGGGTGTCATCCTCATACTTAAAACTTAGAACCACCTTGTACGGCATAATAAACAGTACCACATGAAAGTACTGCTCAATAGCTTTCGTTTGAATGGTCACGTACTAGGGTTTCATCCACAGACATAAAGGTAGAATCATATCGTGTACACCTGTAACTCAGCGTTTGACTGTAGGGTGGAGGGAGTTAAATACAGAAACGTCTCTTCCTTTCTCTCCTCAGCAATCATCATTTTTGGAGTGAGTGGCTCTATTATGGTTGTGGTAAGCTTGTTCACAAGGAAAATTCCACGAGACGAGCTTGGTGGACTGACTTGGCCCACTATCAATGAACCTCCTATTGCACATGGAGCGATTGGCGAGGATGATGACCCTGAAAAGGTCGAGAATGGAACAATGGCTCACACAGAGGGCATTGAGCTTTTGGAGAAGAATGGTAAGGCTGCATCTGATTAAACCTTTTAGGGGCCCTCCAAGTTGCTAATTGCCCTTACAGAGTCGCTATTTATGCAGATACCTTTTCGTCACGCATTCTAAGATTGCGTGACTATCCCAAAGAGGTTCTGCTTAGGACGCTACTGTTATATTCTGATTATAAGCCTGAGCTTCTACAATTTCTTAAAGGGATTTTGGTTAGGCTTGTAAATTGGTGGGGGAAGAGAGTGGGAGGTGGGGGAATGGCATACATCCGGCACATTTTTGAATGTTCTAAGCGGTGAGACACCGTTGTATTTGCAGGCTAATTTATTATTTTAACGCCTGTTAATTGATGCTTGTTTTGTGTTTCATACGTCAGTTATTTTCAGCTAAAATCCTCGGCTATATTCAGCTAAAATCTTTCAAAAGCAAAAAGTCATCACCAATTGATGAGCTTCGGAAAGGTGCTAATAAGGGGAAGTGGAAGTGTACGCTCTTAAATAGCTGGAAAGTAAAACGCGTAAGCCCCGTTAGAGTCCCCGCGGAGCATGCACGCCCTGAAAGGCCGCCGACTAGCATTGGCTCGAGTCAAACTTTGCCTTCATTACATTTAGCCACATTCTGACAACAAAATTACTTTAAATCTCTAGGTAAATTAAGTCCAACAACGCGCTTGGAGACATCGTTCGATGCGTCAGGACCTACAAAATGCGATGACAGGCATGTAATACCAGAAGACCAAGCTGTGAGTGTTCTTCCTACAACAACACACGACAAAGTCAAACTGACTGTAGTACAGTTTGAACGAGAAGATCCTGGACTCAAGTGGTTCTTAAGGATCATGAGTATAATGTTACTCGTCTGTTTGCTCTTCTTGTGGATTTACTATCGTTAGGTTTACTGAGGGGCAAGAACTGTATATAGATCAGTGATTGTTACATGCAGTACTAGATAGGTAAAGTAAAATGGCTGAAAATATAAGCTTAGAGCTTTTTTCAATTGAGTGTCGTAAAGCAAAAACCAAAGTAATCTCTCTAGCCAGTCACAAAGGACGTAGACGGTCCAATGAACCTATCAGAACTGGAAGTAATTACACGTAGTTGACGCAAAGCGCGGGAAAACGTGTGCGAGCGAGTTGAGATTAGTTGTGGATTTACTTTTGATTGGATGAAAAAGTGGCGCGAGTTTTTTAAGCCAATCGTGTAGCATAGTTAGGTCTAGTAATGCAATTACCCAATTACTTAAATTCGACACTCAAGTGAAATCCGCTCAATTACCATGAGTAGCAGGATAGGACGTGATTGGAGGAGAAAAAAAATGAAATACAAGGTAATCTCCTTTACACATTTATTAACATTTATACACCATGTAGCTCGTAACACCTCCATCTCGCTCATAATAGCAAAACAGAAGTCCAGCGATTTGTAGTCACGTAATGGAATGTATATTATTCCTTGTAATTAACTGTAAAGTTGAGTTCGTCTGAAATAGGCAGGACAGTAGCAATTGAATTACAATACTGTAGAAAAAATTTTTGGATAGTTTGAGTACAGAGGGTAGTCTCAGAGAATGTCATTTTCAAATTCATAAGGTTTTGTTTCGTGATATCTTTAGATTGTATTAGAATTTGGTAATGTTAGTTTTCGAAGAGCAAAGGAAAACGAGAGGGGAAAAAGCCAAGTGGAAACCAACAACTTAATTAAACTGAACCGGTCCCAGACCACAAGATCCGCGCTATCCTTGCTCCGTGATTTTCTTGCTCGAGACTGAGTTTATCGTCACTTTTTCTCCCTGTTTTCTGATGAGAAAGCAAGTTCTACAGTACTGATAGATATGTGCTATTTCCACTAGTCTATAATGCTTTCATTCGTTGAAGCTAAGTACACATTAGTTTTCTTTTGGTCGTGTTTTCTCCTTTTTTTTTCCTCAAAAGTTTCCATGCGGGAGAAGAGAAGAGGGAAGTTGTGGCAATGGATAAAATTATGTTTTTAAAAAGCATGGTTTTTTTTTTCCTTGATGTGCGGGTTTACTTTGCGACGTTTACCTTTCCAGGAAAGAGAACTTGGTTGAGATTTTGGGAAATTTAGGAACTTTGTTTTACTTTCTTTAATAGTTTGGAGATTTGTCCACGTTAAACGTGGTTTAAGACGCTTGCTTGGCAAGGTTTTTTCAGTGGTCTTGTAACGTGCGTAACACAAGGTCAGCGTAAATTTTTTCGGACTTTATTCTACCGGTTTTCTTTTATGTAATCTCTGACTGGTTTTATATTGATAGCAGCCAATAGAACGCAGTTTTCGTCTAATTGGATATTTTTAAACGAACGCCCAAATGATAACAAACTAACTTTCTTAACGTAACAGTAATGAGTGTGGTCTATAGTAGTATGCTATTTATAACGGGCGTAGTGTTCAAAGGTAGACATTCGCCTTTGAAACAAGCTTAATCGCTTAACATGCCTTGTAAACGAACTGAGAAGAACTAAGCCTTACGCTTCCTTCCTTGAGTGCGTGATTCAGGGCCTTAACGTGGTATTAGTCAGATTTGGTTGATTTAAGAGAAGACATGTCAACAGAAAACATTTTGAAGCTCAAAAAATTGGAATTCCAGCAAGGAACAATTGAGTAACTTAACTTCTACAGAATAAGTTTTGATTTGGTGCTATGCAACGTAGGTCAAATGTGAGTTTCATATTGTTTTCTCTGGCTGAAAGTCGCAATAGACCTTTGCATTCCTACAGTTGATTCAACTGGCGAGCTAATTTTAATCCATGCTAATCCATGCTAATCCTAAAACATCTTAATCATCGTACGTGGTTTGAATACCTAAATACCCTCCCAGCATCTTTATACCTTACAAAACTACTCTTTTGGGACTTCTCTCGGTCTGTTTAAAATAATTTCATATCTTTGGTGAATCATTTCTTCATATGCCCATCTACAAGATCTAGTTTTAGTATTTTTAGAACCTTAGTTAGAAGGTATGTAGGTTAGTGCGAATAGAGCGTTTTCGCAGCGGGCATGCGAGTGTTTCTTAGCAAGAGGAATTGTTTGCATAAGAAAAAAACGCATTTCCAAAAGAGGAGAATTCCCACTGTTTTTGAACACCAGCATGACTACCATGTCATCGTATGAACTTCGTTTATTTGGTACGCGTAGGTTAGCTGTCCAGTATAAACAAGTATTCTCGGTATTTGTTAGAAGATCTTATTGATCTTGCATTTATTTAACGGTGTGTGATCAATATTGTTAATTTTGGTGGACGGTTAGTTATAGTGAAGTTTGCCATAACGTTTGACAAGGTATTCGGAATTTTTTCGAATTTTTTTACTTGCAATTTTTAGGCAGCTTTCGATGCGTTTTCTTTCAAATGGCGGATCGAAATGCAAAAACGTCTTCCAAAGGCAAAGTTGTCAAGCTTCTCCTCGTTCTGACAATTGACAGCTGTGTCCACCAGTTCTTGCAACTTAACTTAGCCAGTTTGAACGGAAGCCATGGAAGTGTCAGAAAGTTGCTAAAACGTCAAAAATTGATCAAAAGCTTTGTCAAGTAAACGTGACACGGTAATCTTCAATATAAAGATTTTTGGACAATCACGTCCGCTTATTTACTCTCTAGGACCCAGTTTTATTTGTTTTAAAAACTTATTTTAACATATCTGGTCGGCGTGAATAGAGCCGGGGCGGTTTCACAGCGGCCATATTAGTAATGCTGCAACATGAAATTTTTGCATGAGAAAGTGAATCATTTTCGTAAGGGAGAGAAATTTCATTTTTAGTAAAGTCAATATGGCCGCCATGAAGCCATGTAAAGTAGATTATTTTATTGGTTATAGATTATCGAACCGGTGTACACGGGACTACCCCATTTATCTATTGGAAGACCTTAATTAAGTCTCATGTAATTAAGGGAGTGACAAATAATGTAGTTTTTACGTGAACGAGTAATTAAAGTTGAATACAACAAGAGTGCTCCCTGTGCTTTGATTTGTGTATCAAAGATTCTATGTAGATCTTGTGACCCACTGTTCTGACAGTTTGCATATTGTGGCGACACCACCCAAAGGTTTGACGAACATATATTAGACAAGCACCAGAGAGAATAAGATAAGTCTGTGTAGACTGCGAGCAGTCTCTTTTCCTGGAAAATCCGCGGGGAAGAACACAAAACAAGTAAGCGACGTGTAAGGCGGACTGGGAGCGTGCGCTACCAGCGGCTCGCGGCATCGCCGCTCGCACGTCACGCTCACACGCTTACTTGTTTTGCGTCCTTTAAGTCTGTACAGAATAAGGATAGTCCAGGTAAACCTGGGAACATTAAAAACGGAACGACCAAGCTTGAAAAGCTGATACCCTAACATCTCTGAAGTGCGCTAAATTTGCCTGATAATTCCGAGTTACATGTACTGCAAATCTAGTCTTAAACTAACTCCGCGCGAAGGTCTAATTAAGCTAGCTGTATAAAAGGTTTCATTCTAGAAAGCGACTAGTTGTATTTAAGTGTCCCTTAAAGGAGCTCAGTCACGGTATTTACCCTTCAGTTGAAGGAAATGTGTAGCACAGTAATTTACTGAGATGGCAAAACACCGAAGAGATAATAATAAACCATAAAGGAACAAGGATGGCAAAGATTGACACGGATTACAAACGACGAACTTGAAAAATTTAGGCTAAACTTTTCAAGATGCACAAACCATGACGTAGCTCCTTTAAGTTCTTGTCTTCTACGCGAATCTTATCCACAGTCCAATCAGAGATATGATCAACACTACAGTCATTATTCGTAAAAGCCATTTCAACCAGGGCTCTTCAACTGGGAACTGAACTACAGGTAGGAATACCCTCTCTGTTTTTTCCTTGGGGTGAAACACTGCCATAGAAGCAGACGGTGTATCAGGCAGATTGGATTCAGTCTGGCCTGCATAAGAAGAAAGTGAAAATAGAATCATCACCTGGAAAATGACCTAGGACCATGTCATTCTCGTCCCCAGAGCCTCCGGTTCTTTTGGTCACATGGTCGGCGACATTTTGAGACGAGCAGCACTGGGGAAGAGAATGGGACCTTGTCAGCCCCCTACGCAAGCGCTCTTTGGGCTCGTCACGCAATCATCCTCACCGTGACGAGGCTAAAGAACGTCTGCGTTGGAGGATAACTATGGTGTAACGTCCTAGTTGTCTCTAGTCCAGTTCTGACCCTCTGTCTGTCACGCAACGCTGCGCCTCCGGAGAAAGTAGCGTTGTGTGACAAAGGGCCAGAATTGGACTACGGTTGTCTTGCTGCTTAATTACACTCTTGTTAATAAGATAAGAATATCATTTATAAGAATATGGAGGTTCAAATTTGCGAAATTTTTAAGGATATTTTAAGAATTATAACCTGAGGCTGAGATTTTGAAAAGAATATACAGTGTTACAATTGTGTTTGTTGAAAATTTGTAAATAAAGTACAATTATGTTTTTAGCTGTACCGTATAAAATTTTTGTTTCCTCCAAACGGTAATACTGGCCAAAAAGCAACAAACTCAGCACTAGCCCTATGTTCGACGCTAACAACATTTCTGCAAGAAGTTATGTGTGTCGTATCAGGCTTTAATGCCTGCATAGTTAGTAGAGCAGACTAACTATGATGCCTGCAAGCTGGCTCCAAAATTACTTTAACACCATCCAGACACCAAACTCCAGTTATTAACTTATACCATAACATATTTTTGAGTTATTGCCTCTGTGTCAAAGGGAGTCTTGTGCGCGACCACTTATTCGAAAACTGCACGACCGATTTCGCCTGCATGTTCATTTATGTAAATCAAACTCATTTTCATGCGGAAAGTTTTGCGTCAGGATTCGTTTCGAAACAGAAGCACAAAGCAATGGAAATGGCATTTTTTTTTTCTTACTTTTCCATTTGGTGTACCTATTTTTGGAAGTACCCCAGGAATTAAATAAAATCGTTGCTTCTCAATTGTCCCTCATGGAAGTCCATAAGTAATGGTTATGGACTTTTGGTAAAGGGAATATTCGTTCAATATTCCGTTCTTACCCTTTATCTGTATTTCCCTGTTTTCGGTTTTCTCATCGTTTCCTTTCTCGACGTTCTCGCCAATGGCTCCATGTGAGATAGGAGGGTCATTAATGGTGGGCCAAGTCAAGCCACCGAGCTCGTCTCGTGGAATTTCTTTGGTAAAGAAGCTAACCACTACCATTGTCAGTACACTGATGATGAACAGAATATTGGCTGAAATATAAAGAAAAATAGCGTTAATACAGTTTTATTTGTTGACATTATACGGGCTCGATGCCGGCTCGGTGTCATATGTGAGTTGAGTTTGTTGTTGGTTCTCGCCTCAGCTCCGAGTGTTTTGCGCCGGCTTCTCCGGTTTTCCTCCCTCCACAAAACCAACATCCGCTCCAAATTCCAGTTCGACCAGGATTGAGAACCCGCATGAAAACCGACTAAGGCTGATGATTTCTTAACAGCAAATTTTCTGCACGGGTTAGCTTTAAGATTTTTCAATTCAGTTTTAAGGATTTTCGAAGATTACTTACAATAATACATAAAACGAAGCTTGGCAAACCCTGGTCGTGTGTCCTCCTCGCCGCAATGTGGCCGTGTGTACACATTCTCCACAATGAACTTGACAATTCCCATACTAAACCCGACCAAGAGTCCAGCTACCGCTCCATATTCCGTGAGTCCAGTCCACAAGATTCCCAAGAGGAACATCGACGAGATCGACGGTGCCAGGTACGACTGGATGTTCTGGAGATACACAAACAGCTGGCTTCCAGCAAAACCTGCAAAACAGGTTTTAAGCAGGTCACATTTACGATCTCAAGTTACGGTGATTGATAGTGGTTTACAGCACTTGAGTTTCAATAGATCAAAATTACCACGGCTGCAACAGTTGATGCTTAAAAAATACTATCAAACGTATGCCTTGTAAATGAAAGGGAAGCTATAGTCATATTTTTGACACACCAGGTTACCATACCAACAGTTTAACCTGTCAAAAATACCTTTAATTAGTAGCTTATACTCCAAAATGGGCTCGACTTACATTTTTATCGTTGAATAAAGATCAGCCAGTTTAGTCAAGATACAACATTTCGTTAGGATTAGAGATTGGGATCCACCTTAATTTAAATGTTTGGAATTTCAGGATAGTTAAGACTTGAAACTGTTTCATAAATGAATGATGTTGAAATTAATCCCAAACAAGTTGGCGAGATGGTTTAACGACATGGTTTAACGATGAGGATTCACCTTTAACGACAGGTAGCCACAACAAACTGATACCAACAAGAATAGCCACGACTACTCGACCAACTATAATTCGTTCTCTATCCCGGGCCTGTTTTGGAGAGAACAGAATGA